CTGTCTCATGGCAGATTTATTCATCATTTCCAGTGACCAAGCTCCCTTCAGTTAGTGAATGGATGGCTAAACTGGAGTATATCCTGACTATGGAATATTTTCAGAAGTAAAAAACATGAACTTCAAAGCAGGAAAAGAGATGGGGGAATCACATCATGCATATCACTGAGAGAAGGTTATATACTGAAGATTCTACCTATATAGCATTCTGGAAAAGGCAAAGATATGGAAGCAGTAATAGTGTCCATGGTTGTCAGGGAATTAAGGGGAGAGAGGGAGGCAGAGGACAGAGGACAGTTATGGCAGTGAACCTATTCTTTTGGGAGGGGGTATGTTTTAAAATATATTTATTTATCTTTTCATCATCCTTCATTTTGTGCATTTTGTCGTCTCGGTTGTAATCCCCATGGGCTTCCCACCACCAATTTACCCATGTGTCATCGCCATAGTCCAGTGCGCTCTTCCCACCCCAGTTTTGATCCCCTTCCCCTCACCACAGCCAAAAATGTCTCTGGTTTATACTTGTTCATTTTTTTCATTTTTACTTTACTACAATTTTTTTTTCCCTGATCTCTTAAGCTCCTCCTCTATGTGAAATCATCTGGTATTTTTCTTTTTCTTTCTGGCTTATTTCACTAAGCATGATCCCATCCAGCTCCATTCATGTTGCTGCAAAAGGCAAGAGTTTATCTTTTTTTTTTTAGTTGCTGAGTAATATTCCATTGTATACATGTACCACATCTTCTTGATCCAGTCATCTATTTTAGGGCATTTGGATTGATTCCATATCTCTCCTATTGTAAACAGAGCAGAAATATACAGGAGGGTGCAGGTGTCCTTTTGAATCAATGTTTTTGTGCCCTTTGGGCAGTGAAACTATCCTTTAGGGTATTATAATGGTGGATACATGTCCTTATGCATTTGTCCAAACCCACTAAACGTGCAACACTAAGGAGTGGACACTACTATGAACTATGGACTTTGGGTGATAGTGAGGCGTTGGTGTGGCATCACAGATTGTGACAGATGTTTTTCTACCTCATGTGAATATTGACAGTACAGGAGGGTGGGAGGCGGAGAGTAAGCAGGGAGTGAATTGGAACTCTTTGCACCTTCCATTCAAATATACTTTGCTCAAGAACTGTACTGAAAAATAAAGTCCATTTTTAAAAAATTAATTAACAAAATACAAACATCAAACACCTGATAAAAACCTGAATCTTTTCTTTTTTAAAGTGGAATGTCTAGTAAAAAAGCTAATGCTACAAAATTTTGTAAACTAATTCAGTGATTTCCAAGGAATTCAGAAATCTAAAAGGATGTCTACTATAGCATTTTTTTTCCCCAAAAGCAAGAGGGGAAAGACAAATATATTACAAATAATGTCATATATTATATCAGTACATAACAGACAATATTCTTTTAAATAATATTTGTTGACTTAGGATAATACTCTTGGTATAATCTTTTTTTTTTTTTAAAGATTTATTTATTCATTCATACAGAACTGGGGTACAGGCCAGAGATGCGGAGGGTGAGAGGATTCACCAGAGACAGAGTGGGGTGCAGAACAGGCAGATCAACGAAGTACACTGCTGAGGGGAGCAGCGAGCGGGTCAGGAGAGGTCTGCCACGCCATGTGGTCTCCTCCGGGCAGGCGGGAATCGAACTCATGAGGAAGTGGCTTAAGCTTCTTTGTGCAGTGCTTCAACCCGCTGCGCCACCAGGGAGGGCCACCTCTTGGTATAATCTTATGGGAAAATATAATATTTAAATGTACATAATAAGAATTCTTTTAAAATTCCTTCCTTTGGGAATGCATAGGGAGGATGAAAGGAGAGAGAGACATCACTTTTACCTTACATGTATTGTAAGGTTTTGTTTTCTCTGTAACCTTGTGCTGAGATTATGTTCCTTACTAAAAATATATAATTAAAATAACTCAAAATAAAATCTTGTTAATAACATTGATAACACTATTAACTCCTGAAAATAAAAAAGTGGGGGAAATATACCTGTATGTACAGAATAATCCCAATAATATTGCAAATATTTGAATAAAAAAAGTCTGTGAAGAAACACATAATAGTTAATGTTTTTTTCTTATGTTAGTGAAATTAGAAGTAAATTTTTGGGTACTTTTTGTATTTTTCATATTTTCTGCATAGAATATATTCTTTTATGGAAAACAAAATGTTAAAGATTAAAATTTCTGTTAACTTCTTTTCTTCTGATACTCGGGTGGGCCCCCCCAAAAGCAGAATGCCAGAATAACAACATGGAAGGGAAGATCATTCTAGCTCCATCTTGCCCCAGTGCTCCCTTAGGGAAAGTTATGCTCCCACTCCCAAGAGTCCGTATCTGAGTTCATTGTTCAGTCTAGAACTGTCCAGAAAGCTTTCTCAAAGCCAACGCCATTTCCTAGGTCCTCTGAGAATTCCTCAGGACAGACAGTATGTCTTACTCAGCCTCATCCCTCCTCCCCATCATGTACCCAGCAATCTGCTCCCTGAAACACCTTCTCTGAAGTACCCCGATAACTAGAATGACATCACTAGCACTGTTTTGGTCTTCAGGGTTCAATAAAGCTAGTAAAGAAAATGCATGGCTCGGGCCCTGCCTGGTGGCGCAACGGGTTAGGACGCAGCTCTGCAAGCTGGCCGCAGCCGCTTCAGTGTGAGTTCTACCCCCCGCCGCGGAGGTGACCCACTTGGCCTTGGCAGCGCAGACCTCTCCTGACCCGCCCACTGCTCCCCTCAGCAGTGTACTTCATCGATCTGCTGTTCTGCTCCCCACTCTGTCTCTGGCAAAGTCTCTCACTGCCCCTGCACCTCTGACTTGTACCCCATTTCTGTATGCATAAATAAATCTTAAAAAAAAAATTCATGGCTCCTGTGAGTACTCCTAATTCTCAGCAAAGCAATATTGTAGGAAACTTATTCTCTTCTTGGTAGCTTTACCCATTTCAACCCTTTTCCTCCTCTAGCATTTGGCTCACCCAGTCACTCTACATTAGGTGTGGCAAGTATGGCTTACTTAAAGAACTGGAGACACTGAAACATAAATGTTCTGTTTTCATCAACCTTTCCCCTGGGTTGGAGTACTTTAGTAATGCTTTAGCCAGACTCCATGCTCTTTTAGTCATTATGAATGATATCTGGTGGTTCATTCAGTTATTTAAAAGCATCATTGCTAATATTTAATGATCCATCTCAAACATAGCCCAGAAGGTGTTTCTTCCACTTTTAGCACTGGCTCAACCAATTTGTTAGTCTGAAAAGTAAGTTCTGCTTTTCATATACCTTCCTTTCTTTCCTCAAACTCACTCTTTCTGTCCATCATCATCGGAGACTCACAGTGACATATCTGGCTGAGAAGTTTCTCTGACAACCAGAGAAGTTTTAGTTTGTCTAGAGCCCAGGAGTACTCAACTTTGACTGTGCATTGGAATGACTCAGGAATTTTAAAACTACGAATATCTGGGTCTCTTCCACCGCCAGAGATACCTGACTTAATTGCTCAGAATCATGGATGGATATCCTCAACATAAGGATTTTTAAAACCTGCTGGTATGGTCCCTATCTGGAACCATTGTTACAGATCCTTCCAGAAACTCACTGCAGAGGAGAACAGCGAGGAAGGGAGGTGCTGTTCACGTGACTAGAAATTAGGAAAGTACCTAAACTGATCCCTTCTCATTCTTTCTGATGCCACTGTTCTCTGCTGATATAAAGGGTACATGCAGGTACATTGGTTTCTTTGGAGGGGAACAGGCCAGGGGTTCCCTCTACCCCAGCCTGTCTCATGATGCTGAGTGTATATTCCTCCTTCCCTCTTCTCTGGGATGGGCATCAAATTGCTTGGCTATTATTCTCACCACTGTCCTCTTCCACATGTTCTCATTCTCTCTGGCATGGTTTGTGTTTCATGGGGAACAGGAATGACATGAGGGCGCCCCCCAACTCCTCAGACACTCTAACAACAACAATAAATTGCATCATTTATTCAGCAGCTGTATCTGAATTCAGCCAAGAATTGGATTGGTTTGTCTTAATTTATTTTCCTGCAGTCCTGCTAAGAGGTATTAATCACCATTTTTTAAATGAGGGAACTAGGAATCAGAGAGGGTTTATAGTTACCAGGCACCACAGGGCAAGAGATAACAGACAGCATTGAAATTCACATCTGACTCCAAAGTAACAGCCTCTGAATAATTCTATTCTGCCTGTACCTTTCATGGTGTCAACTGTTTTACTCTCTATCTCCCTTAGATAATGCAGCTATGTTCTAGTAAGAACTTTTTTTTTTTTAAAGATTTATTTATTTGTACATACAGAACTGGGGTACAGGCCAGAGGCTCAGGGGCGGTGAGAGGCTTCACCAGAGACAGAGTGGGGAGCAGAACAGGCAGATGGACGAAGTACACTGCTGAGGGGAGCAGCGGGCGGGTCAGGAGAGGTCTGCCGCGCCATGTGGTCACCTCCGGGGCAGGCAGGGATCGAACTCATGCGGAAGTGGTTTCAGCTTCTCAGTGCTGTGCTTTAACCCGCTGCGCCACCAGGGAGGGCCTAGTAAGAACTTTTAATGCTCTTCTCCAAAGAGGAGCTTGACGGTAGATATTTCTGACTAAGACAAATAGGCAGATAGAGGAAAATTGTTTTGCTTCTAACCCCAACCCCTACAACAGATTCAGGCAATGTTTATGGTCAAACCATGCTTTAGATCTGCTACCTACCAGAAACATTTAGATTCGCTCAGATACAGTTTCACCCACTCACCGATGGCATGACTCAACTTTCTTACCCCAGGATCCATTAATCATTTACACATGTTGACAGACATTTTAACCAGGGTTCAAGGTGAACATCCCTGGTTACACAATAAAAAAATGTATAAAGAATTTGTTCCATCAATTGTGAATGTGCGTGTGCTTTAGGAAGTCTGATAAAATTCTCTACAGGGTACACGATAGCACAGGATGGTTTTCACACTATAACAAAATGAAGGAGTTTGTTGTAGCACTGATTTTGCTCCTTTGCCTCACACTGCAGTGTTCCTGCGCTGTGAGTCCCACAAACTGCGATGCTACTGAGCCCTTGGCTGGGAAAGTTCTAGACCTGGTCAATAAAGGACGACAGGATGGCTACCTTTTCCAGTTGCTGCGGGTCGCTGATGCACACTTGGACAAAGCGGTGAGGAATCACTAATGGCAGAGTTGACTTGGGGAGGCCATGCCCCAGGGACAGATGTGACTCTAGTGCCTCTCTCTATGGCTTTGCACAATGCAATAATTTTAGTCAGGGTTCTCTGTTTAGTTTCCTCTTGCTCTCAACTGCTTTTGTTTTCCTTCTAGCTAATGTTTCTTTTTGTGTGCACTTACCTCTGATTCCATCTGTAAGTACTTATAAGCACTTAGGTGAAATCCAATCCAATGCTATGTAGTATAAGAGAAAAATTAGAGGGCCTTCCTGGTAGCCTAGGGATTAAGTCTCAGTCTACCACTGTCCAGTCCTCCACGGCCTAAGTTCAATCCCCGGCCAGGGAGCTGCTCCCATCAGCAGTGTATTTCATTAGATCTGCCTGTTCTACTCCCCATTCTGTCTGTAGTGAATTCTCTCACCCTGGCAGCTCTGGCCTATACGTCTATGCAAAAATAAATAAAATTGTCTACACATAAATATTTACATAAGTATGTGAATCTTTCAAAGAGATAGAAATTAGAATAAACTGTGGGTCTTGCCTCACATGTATACATACTTGCTGTCAGACAGGATATATTCAAGTGACCAAGTGAGTGATAGCAATGTTAGAATAGTTTAATAAAAACAGTTCTATTAATATTTGATGGACAGCTTCACTTAGGACCTAGAGAGTGAGTAGAATGTGAATAGGAAGATGGGTTGACACAAGGCATTCCAGGAGAATTCCAGGCACACCACCTATGTTAGTTTCAGGAAGAAGGAAATAAGGTAATAATTGAAAATAAGTAGGAGGTTTCCAGAAGTTCTGGGCTTTGGAGCACCATCAGGTTGGAAGAGAAACTATTGGTTTATCTTGAAGTAAAGCAAGTCTATTTCCTCACTCAGATTAGATGCTTATTTGGAGATGACTTGAGGTCTTGATAGAAATTATAGAGGTAAATCTCCCACCACACCCCATACTTCCAAAAACCTACCCTTTGGTGAAACTACTGAAAATGGGAAACCAGATCATGGAGCACCACCGTGCGTAAGCAAAGAAATGTATACTTGTTAAAGTATTCAAGATAGAGGTGCTATAGTTGCAGCGAATAAGCGTCCAGCAATTTAGGATTCAATAAGCAATTTAATGTCAATTAGTCCCACTCCAGTCTCTGCCTTAGAGGTAGGACACAGGATGAGTATGCACCCTGCTTTCCCTGAGGGTAGGTGGGTGGGCTAGGTAAGTGGGTGGGTGGGTGGGTAACTTCATGTACTTGGAGAGATTGAGGAAGGTGGCAGGGAAATGACCTAGGAAGCTGGTGCCTATCACTACTGAAAGCCAATAAGCAGAGATGAGTTGAATCTATAGGATATGTATTTATTTTGGTAGCTGGCCAGCAATCTGAGAATGGTGGGCACATCACCCTGAAGAAAGCATTCTAACATCTCATTTCTAGCTAGCTTTTTTACAGTGAGTTGAGCAAACAGTCATAATGGAATTGTTTCATCAGAACAGCCCATCCAGTTGAGTCAGTTTATCAGAACAGCTCATTATAGTCAGTGTTCTTGGTATTTGTCACGTTCACCACCCAGAAGTTGTTACCAGCCTCCTGGTTATCTTGACCATGGTGCATCCTGGCCTCCTTGGTTAATTTGTGATGGTATCAGTGCTTGACATTTATTTGGGCATCACCAGGGTAGGGATTTCAGTTCAAAGCAAGATTTTTAAAGAGTAAAGATCACTAGTCATATGTTATATACATGCATATATGTGTGTATACAGCTAGGCATGTATGTTTAGATTTGTATACTAAGGATGTTGTCCTTTCTTCCCCCCACCCCCACCCACATTACACATTCAGGAATGAAGTAATGAAGACCAGAACTAGGCAGAAGGAATTAGGGTGAGAATAATAAAGATATGAAGTATTTCCAAGAAAGACCAGTAAGGTCTGGTGACTGGGTAGGAAATTCATAGAAAAGGAAGAAATCAAAGTTGATGTTACATTTTTCAAACCAGAGATTAAAGCAATAAGTAACTGATAGTGCCACTGACCAAATCAAGGGAATTTAAGAGAGGGAACTGGTTTGTAAGAGAAAGGTTTCACTTTGGGGGGTAGATTGAAATCAAAATAAGAAATCCAAGTCCAGGAGTGGAGCTGGGTAAAAGGGTATGACTGTATGTTCAGATTGGAGGCAGTGACATGGCCATCATCTCTTACTGCTTTGCTGGCACCTTCAACACCTCCATCCAAGCCCATTCAGCTGGACAGTGATTGCACCTGTTGAGCTCATAGGCAGAAGCAACACCTTGAGCAGTTAAAAAGGACATTTGGAAGTAAACCTTTGATGTTTTTTTGTTAAGCTATTTATTCAAATAAATAATTCACATAGCAAAAGGGTCACCTGCAATGATTTAGGGAAGAGCAGAACTCCTTAAGAAGTCAAAAATAGTTGAACAAACCTCTAGGGTCCTTCATGTTACTCATCTGTTGTTTTCTTGGCTTTCTCCAGGAATCTACAACTGTCTATTATTTAGTTTTAGATGTGAAAGAGTCCGACTGTTCAGTCCTATCCAGGAAACCCTGGACTGACTGTAAGCCAGTTGTGTCTAGACGTCCATCTGAAATAGTAAGTCAAGATTCTGTTTCCTTCCTCTCTTCATTCTCAACTTCTGTCTATTCTTCTCACTCAGGATAGCCACCTGCCTGGGCTGAGAGTAAAACAGTAAAAGCATCTTCTGCCTCTCGATTCATGAAACTGTGTTGAGCTTGAGCAATACTCTCTTGAGATGCATGCCCAAGAACCCAATGCAAGATCTATTAATGGGATTTGTGACTGAGGGGTGTCATATCTAGCATGAGACCTTGGGTAAATCACCTCCTGTCTCTAGACATTTTCCCCCTTTGCACAAGGGAGGGAGGGGGTGGTGAGAGGGCTGGAGTATGTGAGCTCTCAGGCTCTTCCCAGCACTGATAGTCTGTGGGCCTAAGAACTTATGATTGCTATTATGTCCCATGAACAGCAGTCCAATAGCAGGAATAGCCAAAGAGATTCGTTGCAGTTACTGTAAGGGTTTTGTTATGGACATTATATCCAGGTACTTAGATCCCAAGCTTCATGCCATAAGGGAACATAAAGATGAATATGCATATATCTAACATTTCAATTCCAGGAAAGAAAACATTTACACACAAAAATATTTGGGGTATAGTCATGATTCACTTAAACAGTTTCTCCCTGGTTCTCATGAGGATTTTGAGAGGATTTTTGGGTGAGACAAAGCACAGATATTTTTTAAGTGGATAGTAGTAATATGTGACATCACTTTTGTTGTCCCCTGAGGAAAACGATATACATTGACAAAAACCCCTCTTTCTTACAGGTGATCGGACAATGTAAGGTAATAGCTAAAACACAGTCAAGTGATTATCAGGATCTTAGAGTGAAGGACTTTAATTGCACCACAAGTTCTGGTATGGTAACCTCAGTTAAATTGTAATTAATTGTATGTTAATATAGAATTGAGTCATGTATAGTGCTACAATGTATACATACTAGAACAGTTCCTGCCCTACCAACTTGATTATTGTTCATTTTCTTGAGAAGTGGGGGAGGGAGGGAGGAAGTTTTCCCTAGTTACTAATGCAACTTCCTTTAAAGAAACTGAAGGTATAAAAATAGAAATTAGGAGAGGCAGTGGAACAGTATTGTAGGGGACAAAAGCTCTGAGGCCAAATTTGCTTGAGTTTGAATCCCATCCTTATGACTTGCAAGATTGTGGTCTTGAGAGTAAGTTACTTAACTGTTTTAATCTTTCCTTCATTATAAAATGAGGGTAATGTTAGGGTAGAATAATAGTAAGGACCTCCAAGTCCTTGTTAGCATTAAATAGAATGGTCTATGAGCTATACTTTTCAGAGTACTCAGTACTCCGTAGGAATTGATTTTAACATCTAAACATGTAAAAGAAGTTATTTACACATCATTCCACTTCATCTCACAAAAGGAGTATGAAGTAAAGATGACGATGCTTTCTATTTTAGAAATAAAATGAAGCCCAAAGAGGTTCAATGACTAACCTCAGGAACAAAGCAAATGTGATGAAGTAATGACTATCTTGCCAGTGTTGACTCAAAATTCCATGCTCTTTTAACTAACTTTTTCAAAGAGAATTAACACAGAATTTCTTTAAAAATATAAAATTTCATAGGGCAGAAAAAAAGGAAAAATACTGAATGGTTTCACTCATAGCAGGAGGATAACAGACCAGGCGAGAAAATAATAGTAATAATAATGAACAGTTATATACCGGAGACAATTTATGGGGGTGGAGTGGCGAATGGGATCAAAAACACTGGGGGGAGGGAAATGCACTGGACTTTGGTGATGACACATGGGTGATTTGGTGATGGGAAGCCCAAGGAGATTACAACTGAGATGGAAAAATGCACAAAATATTATATTATTAAATATATATAATTATATATATATATAATCTTATATATATATGTGTATATATATATATATATATAATTTCAAAATGATTCAATATATAAAATCCAATGACCAGGCTACTGCTTCAGGAGGACACCTATAAGAAAAGTTGAGCTGTTTCTTCTTTGGGCAAAACTTTAGTTAATGATACCTTCCTTTCCTTGCTAAAACATGAATAATTTATGAGTGGTGGAGGTAGGGAGGAGGATAATCATGAATAAGAGTCTTGACAGAGACTTGACATCAGAAGGATCTGGGTTCAATTTTAGCTCCATTGGAGACTTGGCTGATTGGATCTTTAACACATTACTTAGCTTCTGCAACCCTCAATTTGCCCATCTGTGAAACACAAGCTATGGTTGACCTTGCCGCGTGCTTATACAGTAATCCCAAAACTGCCATTGTTGCTATTAATTCACCAACACACAGCTGTTGTCTTCATTCTCTAGTCTCTTCAGCATTGACCAATACCAAAGACAGCACTGTTCTTTTGGATTTCTTTGAGGATACTGACCTCTACAGAGAACAAGCTGACAAAGCCCTTGAGAAGTACAAACAAGAGAATGCTGACTTTGCACATTTCAGAGTGGACCAAGTGGAGAGAGTGGCACGAGCAGTGAGTCTCCAAAATGCCCAGCTAGAGCCCACGGCCCAGGCTCCAGCCCCCCAGGCACAAACAGCAGCAAGGACCTGCTCCACCTCCCGCACTGGCCAGCTGCCCCTTAAACTCAAGCCCTGTTGAGGCTCTTAGAGAGTCAGTAAATACCGAAGATCTGCTCTCTTGCATGTTCCAATGGCTTGGAGTGGGGAGAGCGCACATGTGGATGAAGAAAAGAAAAGCCCAAACAGGAAGGGGGTGGGGGAGGCTGAAGTGCATATGAGGTTTAGATGAGTCATTAAAAATCATTGGGTCCAAAACTCCCTGCTATACGGAAAACTGAGACTCAGAAACTACCACCCCACATCAAGTGGTGTGGCTGACGTATGCGGTCCTCTTGTGTCTTAGTTCCAGGACGCACCTGCCTCTCACCTAGAATGGTCTTTCAGAGCTAGCAGGTGTTTGCCACACATTTTGAAAATGCATAGTTGAATAGAGTATGGTGCACACAAGCAATGGAATGAATGTAACAAAATCACAAAAAAAGAATTTTTTGTACTTGGATGCACTGGAGAGATGTCAAGCCATAGTGTTGAGGGGAAAACAGATCACAGAACAATAAAGATTATGAACCCACTTATATGGAACAATTAGATATTTGTGTGTGTGAGCAACATATTTAGGAGAATGCTAGAAAGAAGAATTCATCAAATAGTGCTTGTTTACTTTTCTGATGTTCCTAAAACTGCTTTGATCCAATCTGTTCCAGAGAGGTGGAGAAAGAACCAATTACTATGTGGACTTCTCTGTGAGGAACTGCTCTGGTCATTATTTTCCCAGATACTTTAATGTGAGTATAATAAATATCTGTGAAACGCCAGGTGAGAGCACCTACTATGTGCCAGGCAGTTTTCGAAATGCTTTACATATATGAAAACATATTAATCCCATCACTATACTATTTCTACCTATGATTTACATATGGGGCACAGAAAAGCACAAAGTTATGAGAACATAATTTTATTTTATGCATGATATATACCTAAACTTAACTGAGTCTTTTAACCCATTAAGTTAGAGACAATAAAAACTAGTAACTAACTTGGTATTAAGAACCTCCACCCATTCATATTCACATCATCTCATGTATGCTCCATGTCATCCCATGTGACAAATCTTAACAAATGAAGGCCTTGCCCAGTGTTTACAATGAAGCTGAGATTAGAATCCAGTTCTAATGCTCAGTTCAGTGGGCTTTATCTCCCTAATCATATAAAAACTGATTACCTGCAGGAAGATCTTAACAATGCTCACCATTTTTTAAAAAAGATTTTATTTATTTATGCAAACAGAACTGGGATGCAAGCCAGAGGGACAGGCATGGTGAGAGGATTCACCAGAGACAGAGTGGGGAGCAGAACAGGCAAACTGACAAAGTATATTGCTGAAGGGAACAGCGGGCAAGACAGAAGAGGTCTGCTGTGCCATGTGGCCTCAGAGACTTGGGATCAAACTCTCATTGAAGCTGCTGAGGCTGGCTTGCAGTGCTGCGCTTTAACTTATTGCGCCACCAGGGAGGTCCCAATACTCACCATTTTTATAGTGACCTACAGTTAACAAAACATCTCCACATGTATTACTGTCTCATTGGCCCTATAGCAACCCCAATGAAGAGGAACATGTGCTCCATTCTCCCCAGAACAGGAGGCCTTGGAAGTTTAGCCACTTACTTAAGGATACTTAGCTAGAAAGTGGTAGGATGTAGCATTTTAATGGTGGTCTCTTCTGATGTTAAGCCCAAGACTTTTCTAACTTTTTTTTTTTT